AAGAGAGGAGCACCGGGCACGGCGCCACGGTGCCAGCTCGGGGCTCTGGCTGGAGCAGCACGGGCCACGGGGCAGATCCCCCCCCTGGGCCACGGGGCAGATCCCCCCCTGGGCCACGGGGCAGACCCCCCCCCGGGCCACGGGGCAGATCCCCCCCGGGGCCACGGGGCAGATCCTCCCCCGGGCCACGGGGCAGATCCTCCCCCCGGGGCCACGGGGCAGATCCTCCCCCCGGGCCACGGGGCAGATCCTCCCCCCGGGCCACGGGGCAGATCCCCCCCCGGGCCACGGGGCAGATCCTCGCCCCGGGCCACGGGGCAGATCCCCCCCGGGGCCACGGGGCAGATCCCCCCCCGGGGCCACGGGGCAGATCCTCCCCCCGGGCCACGGGGCAGATCCCCCCCGGGGCCACGGGGCAGATCCCCCCCCAGGCCACGGGGCAGATCCCGCCGGGCCACGGGGCAGATCCTCCCCCCGGGCCACGGGGCAGATCCTCCCCCCGGGCTATGGGGCAGACACCCCCCAGGCTATGGGGCAGATCCTCCCCCAGGGCCACGGGGCAGGTCCCCCCCGGGCCACGGGGCAGACCCCCCCCGGGCCACGGGGCAGACCCCCCCCCCGGGCTATGGGGCAGACACCCCCCCGGGCTATGGGGCAGACACCCCCCCGGGCTATGGGGCAGACACCCCCCCAGGCTATGGGGCAGCCCCTCTGCCGCAGCCCAGCCCCGGCTCCGCGCTCGCTCGCCCTCACAGGACGGACGGGGCCGGGAGCTCGCCGCCCGCCACCCGGCTCTGGCATTTTGGCAAGGGATGTCCGTGGGCTTACCCACGAGTGGGAAGTGGACCCACGCCGCACGCGACGAGAAGCTTTCAATTACCATCTGCTGGGCCTGTAGTTAATTACCTTTTCAATTCAGCTCCATGAACCACCCGGCCTAGGAGACGCGCTGGCAGCGCCTGGCACTGGCACGCCTCACCGCGGAACGCCAGCTTACTCAAAATCCACCAACAGTGGGAGATTCCCTACAGCACTTCTAGAATTCCTAGAAAGTTCTGAAAAACTAGCTATGAGCATCAAAATTACACGAGAAAAGATTTTTCGTAGTTTACATCTGTCCAAACAATTTGAGAAAATCAAAAATAGATGGGGAAGGATCTGTCCTTTATAAAAGCCCCCCAACTTCAGGAAGAGAAAAAGGATTCTTCTCTCCTGAACAGCATCAAATATAAAAATACATTTTACATACAGGCATGTTTCACTAACGTTTTTCAACTTACGTTGCGAAAGGTGACCGATAGCAGTCACTAGGAAATACAGGTAATTTTTGTACAAAAATGAACAGGGAGGTCGGACTGGTCGCCGCAATGCCCTTCTAGTAACGAGGTAAATGAGTTTTAGATGAGACAAGCTAACATATCGGAGCCAAATCGTTTATCTTCCGCATCCAAATTTGTCAGAAAGTTCGTATGTCAGTGTACCCAGAAAACGCCTGCCCAGGTTCCCCAGGAACCTCCCAGCAGCTACCACGGAGGGAAACCATTATCAAAACCCCCTTTCTCACCCCAAACGAGCCAGCATTCCCCCTAAAGTTGGAATCTTTAGCCAGTATGAAATTAACAGGAATTGTACCAAGCCCATTTTCCAAAGAATCTTAAACCTTTCACTGAACTCAGTTTTAAAAATGGCCTAAAAAGTACCTCGAAGGTGTCCATTTCTGCCACCCGAGACCTATAAAAAAATGAAGGATGCACAATTCTAGAAACAAGCTAAGGCACTGTCCATAATTAAACTAAAAATGCACGGTTCTTCTGACCAGAAGGATTTATTTTTTGCAAGTTGTCATGCAAAGGTAAAATGATTACTTCAAAATTCATCCCGAGTTATTTTAAAATTCAGCAATAATGGAAAAGCTGTGCTTAGAGCTCGCCATGCCCACGTCTGACACACCGCCCTCTGCTCGGGCTCCGTGACCACACTGCCGCAACCGTGCCACGAAACGGTATTTAATACTAAATGTCTTTTTAAGATTGAACCGGCTGCAAGTGGGTTTGGGTTGTTCTTGAGTTTGGGACCCTTCTTTGCTCCACAAAAACTTTCCTTGCTTTGATGGAGAAAACTAACAATGTCAGTATCTCCCAGCCACAAAGCAAAACCTGCCAAGCTGATGCAATTAAGAAAAGGGAAGAACAAGCCATGAGCTCGTGTGCCAGCAGCCTGGGCCCCGCCGGCGACACCCGAGCAGCGCCCAGCACCACCTCCCAGCACCACCTCCCAGCACCACCTCCCGCGCGCCGGCCCCTCTCGGGAGCAAGAGGCACCCACCGCAACCGCCCAGCGCCCCGAACTCCAAGTTGGACTCGGCAAAGGGAAAAAATCCTCGTGCAACCCCAACAGTTAGCTATGGACTCCAACAGGGGACAGTTACAGACACAGAGCTAAGCCCTGGGTTTTTCACAGACACATGCGGCTGCACTCGGTGGGTGTCAATACGCTCGGCAGCCCCCAAAGCCAAGGCGTTAGTTTAATTGCTTTCAGAGAGCCTTCGCCTCTTCCGTGCCCATGCTGCTCCTGAAAATAAAACTGAATCCCCCCCCAAGCCAGCACTAACCATGTTATACACACCCATGCTCCGGATTACACGGTGGTTTCAGTAACGAGACTTAAATCCTTTTACACCCCGATCAGGGAAACCATGCAAGTTAGGCCAAGGCTAGAAAAGAACGAAGCAGTAGCCGAAGAGGCGCCAAGGAGCCAGAAGGGCCAGCGAGGGACGGTGCACTCTGCAACCCCAGGAGCAGCTCTCCCACAAGCGGCCTCGAGTGCACAGCAGCAGCAGCAGCGATTTACAGTTGGGGGGTTATGGACAAGCTTGGCCACGGCACTGAACACTACGTGACCTGCTGCAAGCCAGCTGACAGTAAGGCCCCGAGTGACACGCCGCGAAGTCAGGTACACCCGAGTGCGCCTCCCCGTTCCCCTCAGTTCCGGCCTACCCTTTTTTTTAAATTTTTTTTTTTTTTTTTAATAAAGCAAAGCCTCCATCCCATGCAATCTGAACAGAAAGCTCTAAGATCTCAGGCTGAGTTGGGGGGGGGGGTTCAGCCTGGAGAAGAGAAGGCTCCGGGGAGCCCTTCGAGCGGCCTCCCAGGGCTTAAAGGGGGGACAGGGGAGGTGGGGGGGGACTCTGGGTCAGGGGGTGGGGGTAGGACAAGGGGTGACGGTTTTAAACTGCCAGAGGGCAGATTCAGATTGGATATAAGGAAGAAATTTTTCACTATGAGGGGGGTGAAACACTGGCCCAGGTCACCCAGAGAAGCGGTAGATGCCCCCTCCTTGGAAACATTCCAGGTCAGGTTGGACAGGGCTTTCAGCAACCTGATCGAGTGGAAGGTGTCCCTGCTTCTCACAGGGGGTTGGACCAGATGATCTCTAAGGCCCCTTCCAACCCAAACCGCTCTATGGTTCCGTGACACGACTCCATGAACAAGGAGCGATCTTCCACCTGGTTTCTCGGTTGGTTTTTAACGGTGGGCGACGTCCAAACCAGAGAAACACTTTCCTGCACCACAGGCCCACGGCCGCACTCCTGAGCCCCGAACCTGCAGCGTACTGCACAGCCCTGCCAGGGAGTCCCCCTCCTGCGCGCTCTCCCCTAATGTCAAGGGGCTGGGATGAGATTGAGAAATTGAATCTCACTTCAGGGAGAAGCATCTAAATATGTTTTATTTTAAAGCTGGGCTTGGCAAAAGAGCATGTAAGTGCATTACAACTGCCTTGCGAGAGCTCGCAACCGGAGACACAGCTGCGCTCAGAACACAGAGTTCGTGGCAGCATAGGATTGCAGAGGGAACTGATGCCAGGTGGGAAAAAAAAAAGAACACAGAAAACAAAGAAAATTAGCATGCCATGGTAAACAGCAGGTTTCATTTTGTTGCTTTTTTCTAATGACAGCAGAATCTCTTGTAACAACAAAATCAATTGTTTATAATGTTGGAACATGCTTCAGGGTGAAATCACTGCTTTGGAAGAGCAAGAAGAAAAGAAAACCTGACCTCTAGGTGACTGAAAATCGCAAGATAAGCTGCTATAGGGCATCAAAAAAGTCAAGTATTACATTGCAAAACCACTGAATGATCTTATTTATCAAGTGTAATTAACCTGGCAGCCAGGAACGCAGGACTTTCCTCTCTCACGAAGTCTCAGGGGGCATCAGATTGCAAGGATCTGCTGCACCTCTTCCCCCACGACTGGCGAGCCACTTTGGTCTGTAACACCTGCAGAACCGAGGGGACTCTGCCACACAGCAGCTGTTTCCCCTACGAGACAAACAGAACGACTGAAGAAAATGAGGCTCTTTCAGCTTCACTGTGATTATCAATGCAGTAAGACAGTGCTTAGCACAACGGAAGGTGAAGTCTAAAAAAACCTTATTCGTAAATACTGACGCAAACACTACGGAGGGTCGGGCAAGGGCAAAGCGAGGTGTGAAAACCAGAAAGCCCCCGCACAGAGCCCCAGGCTGTAGCCTCAGGCACAGCCTGAACCTGGCAGGAGGGAGATTTTACGGCGGGACTTGATGATCTTAAAGGTCTTTTCCAACCTCGGTGATTCTGTGATCCTACAAAACCAAGGCGCTTCGTGGCGGGGATTAAGCTGAGGCTGAAGCACCAAGCGGCGCCCAGCCAGGTGTAAACCTTCAGTGCCTGGCAGGAAGACCTGCTCCAAGTTATGCCACTGATAAACGATTTCAATTACAGCTCACTGGCTAATTTGGGGAAAAATGATTTGGGGATGCCAGTAAACAACAACAAAGCCATCTTTTTTCCCTGTAGCTATTTTATTTAGGAGTGTCCCTTAACTTCCACCCACCCTGGACACCATTCCAGTCACCTCTCCACTGGCAAACTGGGACGCCTGAGCCTTTCTGAACAGATGCTGAGGGCAACACTGTGTTTCTTGGGGTTGTTTTTTGCCTGCCTTTTTTATTTTTATTTTTAAATTCGTGCACCCGCTGGTGTTCCATTCTGCTCGCTAGCTGCAGCTCTCTACAAAGCAGTAAGGGCAGCAAAGCCTTGGGACGCTGATGAAATTCCTACCAGGCTTTGCTGAGGACATATTATCCCGATGAATAACTGAGATTTTTTTTTCTGCCGTAACTGTTATGACTTGAGAGATGAAGTAATAAATTACATTTGCAGGGGTAAAAATTTTGTTAGAATATGGGTCAAGCTTGAATAAACTACAGTCCCGTTCCTTGATCACTCTCCTTCAACAGACTGTCTGGCCTAAACTCGGATCCGAAGCCGGTGGACACAACTCTAGCGCGGACCCCGCCCCTCCGGGACAGCAAAGCCACTCAAACCCCTGAACCCAACCGCGGATCTGCCCCGGCGTGCAGAGGGACCGCGAGCAGCCGCCCCCCCCCGCGGCCAGCACGGCGAGCCTGCAGCGAGCCACACAAGCACCCCCCCCCCCCCCAGACCCCCCCCCCCAGCTTTCAGCTGCTCCTGGATCACCTCGCCGCCGCTCCGGGCCGGTTACGCTTCATCTTCCCCGGGTCGCAGGCCCTACAGCTGTGCTCCCCCCCCCGGGCCAAATCCTGACCCCGGACGCCCCAGAGCAGCCGCCCGATGCGCTGACGGCGCGGGCCCCCACCGGCCCCCCCCATCCAAAGGAGGGTATTTCTCCCACCATCAATCCCGCCAGCCGGAGACAAACGCGCCGCCGTCGGAGCGTCATTCAGCATCAGCCGAAGGGATCGCGTCGTAAGCGCTGGCCGGGCAGAACAGGCCCCCCCTCTCCCCGAGGAAGCTGGGGGGGGGGGGGGGGGCAGCAGCGGGAGCACGGGACGAGCCGTCGCTCCGGTGTCACCCACCGTACCCACGCCCCGCTGGGTGGAACCGCGGGACCAGGACGTCCCGGCAGAAGCCTTCCCCCCCCAGCAGGCACGCCGTGCCGGCTTTGGTCTTGCACAACGCATGTCGGCCCGTGACGCGCTATCGGTCACGGAGCTGCACCCAGATGGCAAGGTTAGGCCTCCTGTGCTCTGCTTCGCCAGGCTGCTCGCAATATCCAGCTGTGTGTGTATAAATATACATGGAATAATACATATTGCAAATATATATCTATATACACACTCATCAGTATACATATTCAAACCTAAAATTATATATACCATATCGATATGGACAGATTCAAAATACTGCACATAAATGAGGAAGGACGGTGCCGAACAGAACATCGGTTTAGTCTTCACTGCTTTCTGACCAAGTATCTAAGCAAGCCGAGGGGTTTTTCAATGGGTGCAGCTGGCTTAAGTAAATCCCTTTTCAGCAGACAAAACCTCCCGCCCCAGCCTCGGGCGCCAGTCCTTCCCCAGGGCTGCCTCGGGAGGAGGGAAGCCAGCCGCGCAGCAGGCAGCGTGCCCCGCGCTGCCACCCCGAGCAGCCACCCGGGCAGCGCCGGGGACCGGGGGGCCACAGGCTCCAGGCACTGGGACCCTCCAACCTCCACTGCACCCTGACTCCAGACAGCTGGGAAGCTCAGACTTACCAAGAGACAGACATTTATGCACATTTTACCTAGGAAATCATCCGAGCTGGGCAAGGAACCCATCATCTGACTCGGGATCTGTTGTGGACCGCAAACTCCAGATACCGAGCACGGGGAACTTCTAGATCAGCCGGCCGGCCGGTGTGAAGCCAGCCAACACGGGAGCGACGGGGTCTAATTCCGAGCTTAAATCCCAAAGGCGGAGGAATCATTCACTGTCACAAAAGCAAGAGAGCTTGTGCATTTCTACAAATCTAGTCAACTACCGGTAAAATGTCTTAGCACAAAAGTAACTGGACACAAGTAATCAAATTAATAACCTAAGATAAGGAGTCCCCCAGCAACCAACCTGTGGGTCTGGATCTTCTTACTGGATATGTTTAAATACATTATTAAAGCTTTCATTTCAATTGATAGACTCGAAGCCAAAAGCTAACCAACTACAAGTTCAGAACCTGCCACGAAAGGCACAGACAGACACGCCCTTGCCTCTCTCCCTGACACACTCCAGGATGCTGTTGCTGCCCGCTGTTCTGTATCGCTTTTCGGGGGGAGGTAACTGCTCCCCCGAGCAGCGCACCGCCGGCGGATCCGGCGGGTACAGCTCAGCGGAATTCTTGCACCGCCAGCCAGCACGGCCCGAGGTGACGTAAGGTGCCAAGATCGTTTCTCTGTTTAACAAGGTGGCTGAAAGCGTATCGAGCCAGAAGGACGATCAAATTGTGCCCGCTCTGGCCATTTCCCCTTAATCTCTTGATCCTAAATGGACTTGGTCATAATCGTAGCACAGCAGAACCTGCAAGCACCACGGTCAGGAACCGTGCTGGGAGAGAACTGTTGCCATCGCCCGGTACTCAACGGGACCGAGGCCCAGTCACGGGCTTCAACCAGCTGCTGGAATAAGCTGCGCTCATTTTGTACAAGATGAATGATTTCTTGGTTTTCATTGTATTGGGTTTGGGTGTTTAAAGAATGCCCGAAGAGAACCTGATTTTCAGAAAAGCTCTAGCACCAATCCTCTGAAAATTAAGACTTTAACGTGTCTCCAATTAGGAACTCAAACCCACTAATCGTTTCCGATAATCCCGGATGAGTGGGATTGATCTCCAACTAGCAAGCAAGGTAACAAAAGCAGAAAGTGAGATTTTCTTCCTCCCAGCGCAATGTAACTTTAAATTATTTCTTTTACATCACAAGGAGTGAGTGAGAAGACTTCCAGAACAACAGTACTGTCCCATGAAAGCACCTGCTTGCCGAGAAATTGCAGCTGAGAGAAATCACAGCTCTGTCAGCAGCATCCCAGGGGCCCACAACCCCAGCACACAACTTCAAGATGCACGCAGTAATCTCATCCTGCTTTCTGCACTGCAGCCTCCGTATCTGGTATCCCAGCAAAGCAAATTCTCAGTTTTCCCTAAACGCAGAAATGAAAGTACGTTATCTTTGGGCACACGAGGGTAACCTCGTGCTGCGGGTACGTCACCGTCGGATACTGATCCAGCAGAACAGACTGACTCTAACAGTGAAAACGTTTTGTTCACCTCACTCCCCCCACCCCACCCCACCTCTCAACGCAGTTAAGAAAATTTCATATGCACTACATACATGTCACAGTTAAAAATAAAGTACTTTTTAAAAAGACTGAAGTCTGGCTAGGATGCCTTTGCTCGTAACAACAGATCTGTGTGAGGTACTTTTTCATACTCACAGGGTAAAGTCCCTCGTTACGCACAAGTGAGAATATATCTGCAAATACGCTGTTTGGCTACCTATGTGTCAAGCTTCATGCTTTTATTCCAAAGTGAATGATTTTCCAGCTTAGGTCCTGGACTAATAAAATAAGCGGCGTTTAGCATCTGACAGGTGGGCTTCAGCACCCAGCTTACACACAAAAGCCGGCCCGGCTCTGTGGCTAGACCCGGGGGGTAGGCAGTGAGCGCCGGAGCACCGGTCCCGGCGATCTGCCCCCACCAGCCCACGCCTGCTTCTGCAGGTGGCCCAACACCCACCCCCGCGCGAGCCGCGCGCCCGAGCCCGGCCTGGGAAGCAGCTCAGCGCCCAGGCCGGCACCGCGCGGCGCAGGCCTGCGCCTGAGGCCCGTACGGTCTGTACGGGAGCGGGTCCTTCAGCCCACGCAGAAGGTCCCGTGCCCCGGGGTCGAGCACACACCTCCAGCTGACCTCCCCCCCCCCCCCCCAAACTCCTCCGTGACCGACCACCGGGGGTGTAACGGCAGGAGTCCCGTGCTGGGGCCATTTCCCTCTCCAATGTTGTCACTAGGTACAAAGTGCAAAAGTGTTGCTGTTCCTGCATCCATTAAAAACTTTAAAAACAGAACAAAACAAACAGAAAAGGATTCCCATAGTAATTTGAAAATACATCAGTCTCCAAAAAGCCAGCCAACACCCGATAACCTGTTTGTGCCATATCTGCTCTCGTTCCTGCAGGGCAGCAGTCCAGTGGATCGTTATCCTCTTAGCTGGCAAACAACACGCTACCTTCTGTGCATACTCCCCAGCCAAGGGAGGACGACATCCCGGAGGTTGAGTTTTGATGGCTCGGACTCAAGAGACCAACTGCTAACTGAGCCAAGAACCTGCAGCGAACTGTCACGTCTCCAGAGGAGAGAGCACTGAGCAATTCACCGCACCGCAGAGGCCTCCTGTTCCTCAGGACAGTTCAGCATTACAGCAGGTTAGCTACGTGGCCTCTGGCTTGGGACACCGCCAAGGACTTCCCTCCCACCCCACAGAAACGTAAAATAAAATCCCTCCCTGCTTCATCCCATTTAAAGTGTTTGCATCTTTTCCTCCTATGAAATGTTTCTGATAAGGCTTTATTGCTATACAAAAGCGGTGCAAATGCTGCCCAAAGACAGCTCCATCAGGAACTTTGGTCACACGACTGCGGGACTCTTGTGCACTGTCCAAGTCCCAGCGTTAGACCTGCTACCTTTCTGAAGAGAAGCTGAATACTGTGTGCAATAACACTAAGAAAATAGGACTGAACCCCAAATACAAAACAAAAACAAGGGAGAGAGGGAAGGGGACAAGGAACTAAAATTAGGCAGAAGGCTTGCTGGGGAAGAACCCCATCATTCCTGTGATGACTAACTGATCAATGCTACATTTAGACAATGCAAGTGTCTTTCAGAACAGATTGTTGGTGTTGAAACTGCGTGTCTGGTCCTGAATGCCAGCTCTCTCATCAATGCAGCATTTATTAAAAAATAAAATTAAAATGAAAAAAAAAAAAAAAAAATTGACAAATTGCATCACCAGGTAGCAGCCTGGCCTGGATCACACACGTCCCATTGCATCTGTTTCATCAAGCAGGGCCATTTAATGTGGCTTCAGCACAGGGCAAGACTTCTTCTTTCCTGAAGAGAAACCCAAAGAGCAGCATTAGAGAAATATAACTACTGGAACGTACCCGCTCCTAAAGGTGACTTTCATCTTGGCTGGAAACGTTCCTCCTCAGGACTGAGCCATCCTTACCCTAGCTCTGTTTCTTCTGCCTGCTAACGCATCATCAGCTTCCTAACGAGCACCTCCCCCAAGTCCGCCGATTACACAACATTAATTAATTTATTGAACCGGAAGTTTGGAACGTGACTGGCAGGGTCCTGACCGCACCAGGCCGGGGTGGCCTGACCCGGGGCCTCCCCCCCAGCCCGGCCGCGGGGTTTCGGCCTTTGCCGGAGCCGTGGCACGGCTTTGCACCTTCCCGCCGCAGACCTGGCGCCCCGGGACCGGGAAATCGCTGGAGGGGGGCCCGTGGGAGGTCTGCAGGGCTTCTGACCCCCCACTTTGCTGTGTCCCCCCCCCCCCCCCCGGGCCCCGGCTCAGCTCCCCGTGCCCCCTGGGGCACTCAGGGCCCTGGCAGTACCTGGGGTGCGGCGGTGAGAACCAGCACCCGGCGGGCTGCTCATCTTCCTCCCCAGTACCAGTTACACCAGCACTACAGCTTGTGTGAGACCGGTGGTAGATGGGCTCAAACACGGGGCTGCAGCCGTGCCGGGGAGAGGCATGAAGCGGTAGTGCCGACAGCCAGGACAGCTGTGACGGAGCGGGGCGGCCGCACGAAGCTCCGAGTGCTGGTTAGAACCTCCTGCTCCCCCCCCCAAAAGTACCCAACAGAAGAAATTCCCGTAGGCTGGCCCAGATGTCTGGCTTCAGCCAAGCACCACCGTCCGAGGTTCAATCCAACTGCCAGCTTGCTCCAGGAGGACGGAGCCACCCAGCAGAGGCTGTCTTAGCTCAAGAAGAGCAGAAGCACCTCGTTATCGATAGGCATCTCTCTGCCCAAAACCAGGAGCCAGAGCAAAGCTGTGGAGGTGGCAGCACTAGATATGCAGATGGATTGGTTTCCATTTCTGCAAAGCCCTAAACTGTCACACTCACAAAAAGATACTGATATCAGTTCTCCTTCAGATCACTTCCAGTTCCAGCTATCAAACCACATTCCATCATCTCCTCATAATATTTGAACTGTAAATGTCTGCATGTTCACCCGAACATACAAACCTGTACCATCTGAGTTATTAGTTAGGCATTGAGTAAGAAATAAGAAGTCCGTTATTTTAATAAAACAGATGATTTGACAGCACTCCTGGGAAACTGAAAGATGTGTGCAATGCATCGCAGTAACAGCTCTACACTACCTGCAGTATAACGCACTCCAGACGTACCACTCGTGTAACTCTGATCATGCCCTAACGTTAGAATGAACGCGTTCAGTAACGGGGAGAAACCCGGCTGTGTCACGGGCCGGTACCGGAGAGCCGTGACCATCTCACCTGTCTTTTGTGGCCGTTTCCGTGACGGCTGTGACGACCGCGGCCGTGTTCTGGAGCTCCTCCGAGCGCTGGGCCACGCTGTTCAGGGGTTTGGATGCTTTTGTCGTTCCGATGTCAGTGATGGCCAGCTTATCAATAACCATGCAGTCTGCATCGCTGTGTGGGGAGAATTCAAGTTCACATTAAAATGTCAATCAGTGGGGCTTAAATTCCAAAGGAGAAAAAAAAATATTCCTCCTCCTCTCCTAGCACAGGCCACAGAAATCCCATAAAGAGATAAGAACTGAAAATAAACCGGAATTAAAAAGCGGTGTATGCATCCTGGAGGCTATGTTTCCTAAAAACCCACAAGCTACCAAATAGGCACAACAACGACAGCCCCTCGAGAAAGGCATTCCCACTCCCTGCAGCAAAATCCGCCCTGAGCATTCCCCACATTGCCCCATCGCCGGCAAACCCGGCACTCGGCCACCCTCTGCAACCACCTCTGCCGGGGCGGCTCTACGTGTCTCTCTCCCTCTGTGGACAGACACAGAAAACAAACAGTAGAAGGATGCAAACGTTGAGAGGACCTTCGGCCGAGCCTCTGCAAGTTCAGAGGGTCCAGAAGGTCAAGTCTGCCCCCGGGAGCAGCAAGCCAAAAGCAGGCTGCTCGCCTTGGCGCTGACGAGAGACGGTCAGCGCCAGCACTCAGGAGCAGCCCGGGCTGGCAGGGACCCCGGGAGCTCCTCTGGTCCAGCCTTTGGTGGGAGAGGCAGCCCGGGGTCGCCCACCTCCCCCCGGGCTTGCCCCCTGCTCCCAACGCCACCGAGCAGGTCGCTGGGCCCGCTGCTGCTCAACTGCTGGTTTGGCAAAGCGCGTTTCTGATCTAATCCAGGCACCTACGCTGCTCTAACTCCACCGATTTCTCCCAAGTGGCAGCTGGTGCTTCTGGGTACGCCTAGAAGGGACTTAAGTTTAAGTACAGAACCTAAAAATGCCGAGGAAGAAAAAGTTGATTGGGCGTTCATTCATGAGTGGTATCTTCGGGAGCCAGACAGGGTTACGTTAACTTGCTCTCAGTAACACATCAGATGACAGATACCCAACACCTGAGGGATAACATTTCCAATGACGTCTCCCTACAACAAAACAGAAGCTCAGATCCTGAAAGAGGAAAAAACCTGCCAGCACAAAACCTCCAAATCTTCTACAATTTGTATTAAAAGGACCCGTATTTCTAACTCGAGAAGTGATTTCTGTGAACATCTCTATTCTTTGCCTTCTAAGGCAGAGGACAAGCTTGCATGCGAATGATCTTCCTCACAGTTTTAACTCAGTCCCAGTTTCAAGAATGATTTCTTCTCCTTCTTTCAGAGAGCAAGCCTACAAAAATGGAAGGAAAGCTCAGTAGATGACTGAGCTGGAATCCTGTCAGCAGCTGCTGGGGGAGTTTATAATGCACACATATAATCCCAGCCCGGTAATTAAGACACGCGACAGATTTTGAGATCAAGGTTCTATTTCTGTAGCTACTTTTCTGTGTGCTCTTAAAAAAAAATACATAAAAGATGAGGAATAACGGGATCAAAACATTTATCTTCCTACAGGGCTAACATGGTCTTAAAAAGAAATACTGCAAGTACAAAAAGATACCTTAGAGAAACGGCAGGGGATAGATGAGACAGCAGAGACATGAACTAAGTTGCCAGAAATGCCATTAGAAAGTGACTTCACACACAAGCAACTGGAGCTCATGAGATTGAAATTGCCCAAAGATAAACTTCTTAAATGCAACCACTAAAATTTCCGTGACGCAAGGATTCCGATGTTATGAAGTCCTGAGGTTACGTGACCACTAAGGGGGGCATGGAAATTCTCAAACTCTTCAGCAGGCTCACGGCGAAGCGAAGCTGGACACGCCAACCTCTGCAGAAGGCCACTTACAGGCCAAACTGACGGGGTGAAACAAAACAAGGGGTCTGTGTGGAACGCAGACTACTATCCCCCAGGCAGGAGGGTCGATAACAATATTTAATTCTAGCCTAGAATAAACTCTAGTGCCTACAAATATTTTGCATCGGTATTTCTCTGCTCCTCAGGTTCTTTCCAGCAGCTGGCTGTGTCCCTTGAACGCCAGCCTGGTGTGACCCCGCCGCCAGTGCCACCGGGGGAACGGCCCAAAGAGCCCGGTGACGTGCTCCGAACCCTGCCCGGGCGGAGGGCAGGGACGGGGAGCGTGTCACCTGCGAAGAGCGGCCGCTGGTCAAGGCGGGCTCAGGAAGAACAGTTACCAGCACCGACGTCCGTGTCTGCTCCAGACTCCCCTTAGTTAAGCTCTGCAAACAGACCTCTAATACTTCCCATTCCAGGAGTAATTAAGGAATTTTGAAGCTCTAATTCAAAGCCACTTGCACACATCTTCCACCAGCAAGCGTAAGTCTGTCCAGAACTGGGTCTTTTTTGACAACGGACAAGCGCTCGACACAAGCACCTTGTGAATGCCACCCACAGCCATGCCCACTGGCCTTCCCAGCACGAGCGCCGGGACAAGCTTCCTTTATGCTCACCAAGTTCAACATCACAGCCAAATTCTGCAACTCAACCATCGAGTTTGTAAATACTGCTCTGGGGGTCACTTGTAACAGAAACTCCTTTCTTTCTACGAGCCCTGTAACGCTCGCTGAGATGCCTAGCCACCCCCAGTGCACAAGCTGAACGTGCAAACTCTTCAGTCTTACCAGAAAATCAAGAGTAGAAGATACGACCTGCATTAGTAGGCCCGGCCACCTTCACCTCTAGAAGGTTAGAGCAGAGTTTGCGTGAAGTTATCTGGGGAGGTCTCCTCCTGCCCACCGGCTGGCTGCTCCGGGATGGCCCTGCCAGGGTCGGGGGGTGTTCTCCTCACCCGGGTGCTTGGTGAGTAACAGCCTCAGCGCGGACCAAGTGTGCTTCGCCGCCGTGCAACACAGCTGAGCATCCCCAACACGACAGCCTCTACTTCACCTTCATGCAACGGGGCCTCTGCAGGACAACTGTAAGAAGGTAATTTTGGGGGTCTAGAGACAGAAGCAACTTTGTGGCAGCCGTGGACTATTTGCTCGGTGTCTAGCAAAGTGCGGAAAGCAGGGAATGAATCACCTGGGAGGCTCGGGAGGGGAGAATGCCTGCGTGCCATTCCAGACACTGGCAAGGAGTACGCCCTGCCGGAGCCAAGTCCCAGCGTGGAACTTGGTGAGTTTGGGCCACGGTCACTTGGGGGTGATGAACCGAGGAACATCCCCCAGTGACGCCTTTCACGGCCTGCTTTGAAGCATGGTGGGGGACAGTAAAGACAGTGACAGGGAAACAGCTCAGGCGTTCTCGTTTACTCTTCCTGACGCGTTACCCGACGTATTTCCTACCTTAAATATCACCTAGGGTTTGTCTTTTAAGGCAGCAAGTTCCTCGAGGTAGATACAGTCACACCTCCCCTGGGTGATACATACTGCTAAGCCCTCGGATTTCACTTCGCCCAATTATGTGATACAGTAATAACTTTAAGCTAAGAAGTATTTAAAATACTAATTCTTCAAAAGCTGCTATTTTATGTTAACCGATGTGCAGATGTATTAGACAAGGAAGGCTGCCAGAACGCTTCTGGTGAAAGTCACTGGTGTCTGTGCAAAATATATGCACACACGTATGTACCCAAATACCGCCTCGCGGCCGGGAAACGTGAACAGGTTCTCTGTCTGCACAAACAGTCGGAAGAGAAGGCACCCGTGGACGGCTGTGACAGCGCGACACCTGCTTTCAAGGAGGCTTCCAGTGACCTCTCCCAAATGCACACACATTGCTTCAGACAAGGGACTTGAGAAAATGGTTTCCAGCTGCCTCTGGGGAAGGTTTCACCGTCTGCTGGGAGCCCCGCGGGGATGAGCCTGCCCTGGGTGCAGGACTCGCTCATCCTGCACTCACGTGAATGGCCGGCACAGATTTGCTTTTCACACGCTACTGAAAACTTGCAGCTCTCTCAGCTAATGAGTTTCAACTCCTCAAGTTTCTTAGAGAAAAATCTGCCACAAAGATATCACAGAGTTCTCAACTTTTACTACACGTAATGCATGAAAACAAGATACATGATATATCCTCATTCTAAACCTGAGGTGCTACAAAATGCTTGTGCATTCTTTTTTGCTCTAATGCCCAAATCCTGCAAGTGCAAAGCTTCCTCAAGCCACCAATGCAACTGTTTTCCCTCAACTGCAATTTGTTCTTTGAAAAACAGGATTGAACAAATCTCACACTTCATAATCACTGACATTGTCACTCTATATTAAAACTGATACCCAGTTAAAATAAAGTGATATGCTCTTCTATTTATGAAGATGAAAACGTCAGGAGCTCACTTCACTTTGGGTAATAATTCAGTTCTTCCTGTAGATTTCCACCAGCTTTACGGAGAAAATACTTGAGCACTGTGGCTCTCTTGAACAGCCCCCTCGCCCAGTTTCGCTATGCAACCTTCTTTTTAACACCCATTTCACAGCACGACTGCAGACCACATCACGCTCTCACCCTGCCCTTCTGCTGGTCCGTCACTGCGCGCCTCTGGGACCATAAAGAATTCGGGCTGTAGCCCCAAAAGATCAAAAAGCTTTAGGTATTTTGGGAAAGAAGGATTTGATACTGAACGAAACAGCCCTAGAGTTCAATTCTACCCACCTCTGAAGCTCACTGCTGTGGCTCCTGGGATACACTTTAGATATCCTCTAGTCTCTTTGGTAAACAGTTAGTATCACAGACAACAAAACCCGGTGAAGACACACTAGGAAAAACAGTGGTACTATAAACAAAGAAGCAAGACACATATAAAAAGCGTACGTAAATACAAGTCTCATGCTGAGCCCACAGGCAAGTTCTTAAAAACCAGGCTCTGAAATACAAAGTAAGAGATGCAAGGGCAGCCGTGCGACCCTCACACTTCTCAACACCCTCCCAAAACGCTTCTTGGCTGTTAGTTGGACAAAGTCACACACCACGGGAGGTCTGGCTTCCCGATTCACATGCAATCTTCGCGAAAAAGGCCAGCACCTACGTCAGCTTAGACCATCCCATCTATGCCAACTATCGCACGCAGTGTCCATTTTCGAGTGGCAAAGTCCTCCGGTGAAAGGGACCTCGGGTTAGTCACT